ATATATATATATATATATATATATATATATATATATATATATATATATATATATATATATATATATATATATTTTCAGTGGACTACTTACCGATCGGGCCAGCTGACAATGAAAGGGCCGCCCGATCGGATGTATAATAAGAGAGAGATGACTGACGATACGAAATGCATCGAAGAAGGATAGGAGATGCTCGGGCCAGCTGACGGTGAAGAGGCCGCCCGAGCATCCAAAATATGATGACATCAGCAGCCGGGAGACTGCTAACTTTTCGGAACCCCCTGTGTATCACAGATGTCATAAGCTCATACCCGTACCCCGCGGCTTGTCGTATCCCTGAGGAAAAATCCCCCAGAAGCCCCGAAATACGGATGCGAACAAAAAAGGGTTTTTCTTTCTTTTTGCTTTTGTTTTCTTTTTGAAACGGCTTTTGTATTTTTTTTGGTTAATAACTCCCGCGCGGGCGAGTAGCGGTCGCGGTATGAAAACCAAGAAACGGTTTCGGTTGGGACTTTTTGAATTTTGCGCGCACGCGCATAAGCTCCGACTTCTTCGCGCGTCTCGCTTCCCCGTTTCTTGTTGTGCGTCCCCGCGCCATCGTCCTTTCAGGACTCTTCGTCTTCCCCTACGCCCAGCTTGATCCTAACCCCGTCGTCCTCCGCGAAGTGATTGGCTGCATAGTTGGGATGCTCGGATCAATGTGGAGAGCGGGAAACCGCGCACCACTAGAACGAACACCCCAATCACGTAGGACCATGCAACCCCGCGGGTCGAACCCTCTGACCCCCCCCACCTTTCTTTTGTCCTGCTCATCTACACCCCGCGCTGCCCGCACCTCGCGCTGACAACCCGTCACCTCCCGCGCTATAAATTCGCGCAACCCTCTCCTCTTGCTCTCTTTTGATCTCGGCTGCAATGCTGCGCGAGCTATGCGCGAAGTCCGCGGCGCCGAACAGGCTCAACGAGCCCAAGGACGGGCGGAGTGACGACGCGGGGTGGACACGCGGTGGACTCGGGGCGAAGCAGTCGGGGGGGACTGAGCAGTGGTGGGATTGGACGTCGGCCGTGGCAAGGCCTTGTGGCTATGGTGGTCGGTGGTCTTGGGAAGTTTTGAAGGTTGCGCCTGGGGGCGGCGGTTAATTGAGAATTTTTGTATACAAGAAGGACTCGCTTTTATCTCCATTGCTGCTTTGTCTATGCATGGCGTGTGTGTGAGGCCCCGAGTGATGGGAGCTTGTCGTGCGCATCAGTGATGTTGAAGGTCTATGGATGATTGGATGTCCTGTCAAGGGTCGATTGATTGCATGCAGGTATGTGTGTATGTACTTATCCAGGTGGGGACGGGGGAACTGAACCGGAGGACCGTCTGCTTAGGCGTACGAGTGTGTTAATCCCGTTGTTCCCCTCCCATCTGCGGCCCTTCGAGTCTGGATCCAATGTCACCAAGCTCTCTCTCTCTCTCTCTCTCTCTCTCTCTCTCTCTCTCTCTCTCTCTCTCTCTCTCTCTCGCCTTCTTTTTGAATTGGCAGTCATCGTTTCTGAACTCCTCGTCCCCGCACCGGTGACGTCCACCGCCGGCGTGCGCGTGCGCGGTCGACGCCCCCGCGACGGGGAAGAGAACTTAGATTTCATCATCTTCTTCCGACGCACTAACCTTGATAGAGAAGGGTTGCATCGAGTGTTGTATGGAGACGGTGTTGGTGCGGATGACCGGGAGCGTGGGGTCTGGCCCGTGTTCATCGCCTACCTCCGATCGTTCTATCTCGCTATCGGCCTTTCCCATCGCAGATGACGACGGCGTCTACTGCGATGCGGATGTACGGCGCGCTTTGAGTCGAACGGAGCAAGTCTTTTGGCGAGACCCGCCCCGGGCGTTTAATATTAGGGGAGACGGGTTCGTCTTAATTGATCGTTTCGATTCCCCGACTCTAATATTGCCTTATTCGGATTTGACTGTGTTGCCCTGGTCGGCCGCTCATAGCACTTGGCGGCCGCAGTTTGATTGTCGCTGGTGTCGCCAGGGGGACTCGTGTTCCTGGCGACGACTGGTCCTGAGTTACGAGGGAGCGGCGCGTTTCCCAAAGCTCTCCCGTAATGCGGGGGCGCTGCCCGCACAATTTCGAATTCGGGTGTCGGCAAGTTCTCCCGCCGCTTCACCCTCTCGGGAACTCCCGCGCGGACTTTGTGAATCCGACGCCGAGGCTTGAAGGCCTCGAACCACCCACCTATGCAACGAAAACCTGACGACCCGGTCTTCGGTCCTTAGCCATCGTAGCCTCCTCCCCCTGCTGCCCTTCTTCATTTTGATTCACTACGGCAATTCGTCTTTGCGGAACTATTCGGTTTTCGTTACCCTGGACTGACCCGACCTCCACGGGACTCAGCGGCGAAAGATCGATCCCGGGATAACCTCTGGTTCGAAACGAGGGCCTCCCGTTCCGACCGGGAGACTCAACCCCTACGGCCAAAAAGAAATCCTCAGCCACGCCCCTCCTATAACTCTGATCGGCGACCCGGTACGGGAAGTCGCGAGGGGGCGTGAGGTCCGTATCACAAGCCTGTCCCGACTCTTGGGACTTAGCATATACTTTGAGACTGAAGGGGATAATTGGGAAGTGTCATTAACATTGAGTATTATGTATTGTTATTCCTATAAAAAGATGAGGAGATTTACCCTATTTTTCAATGAAATGATCCAAAAATAGAATGATATCAAAATATAACATCCTAGACTTTCTATTTTACAGCCTTTATTTAACATAGTCCATATAATTCAATTTAGTACGTAAATTCTTTTGTACTTTGTCAACGCAAAATGATTCAAGTTCTTCAAGGGGGTGACCCCATGGTCGTTGACCTGGAGTGGTTAATTCAGGATGGCCTTCAGCATTGCCACACTCTTCCACCATCTTAGCTTTATATCTCGGATCAACCACGTGGTCCGTCTAGCATGGTTTTTGTCCTCAAATCCGCCCAATAGTCCTTGAAAGAATTCCTCTAGAGCGGCTATAAGGAAGTACCGCAGCATGTCTCCCCTGCACCGCGCTGCTTCTGCGTACGACATAGCCCAGGTCAACATATCCCCACCCAGGCTCAACACCACCATCAGCACCTGAGCCCAGTAGGGAACCTTCTGGGCCCACAAATAAGTGGTCACTGCCACCTCCCCACTATCTAATATTTTCTTCCCTATTACCCTTATACGTGAAACGGTGAAAGGTAACTCGACCTTAATTTTGTCTCTGCTCTCACCGTTAGAATCCCCTTCATTCCTAAAAAATAAAAAATAAAACAAATTCCCTTATTTCCTTCCTTCCGATCTCCATTTCGATTGTCCCCACCATACCCCACAATCCCCACCTTCTCCTCCATCCTCCATCCAAGTCATTCTTCACCATCCTCTTTTTTTTTTTTTTTTTTTTACCGGAAATCATTCTTTTTTTGTTTTTCTTTTTTTTTTACATACAAGGGGGCCCTGAGGGCTTCAAATTACAAAATTGTAAAGAGGCCGGGAAACCCTCTTACAAGCCAACCCGGATTAAACAGAAGTAACATGAATGTTCGTAGCCTCAGGGGTGTGGAGATTAAATCAAGGGACAGAAATTGGCCAAATCCAGACCGCTGCCCTGAACATCCACGACCCTGGGTAAAAACCAACAAAAGACTGACACCAAGGCCTACAAAGCCACACAAGCCAAAGGAAAACAAGCTACCACCAACACAGTAACAAGGCCCACACAAACACAAAAACCCACCATAGATCCTAAAACCAAGGCCTAGCAACCTGAACAAGCCCGACCAACACAGGGAAACCCCCAAAGCAAAAAACGTGCCCTCAAGGCCAAAAGAATATCCACAAAACCAATCCCACTATCAAACTCTCAGAAGGACCAGGACCACATCTACCAATCTACAATTATCACTACACCTGTCTGCTTGATCAGCAGGATCCCCTAACTAGCTCAGACCTTACTCTGCCTGTCTATTGCGACCGGCCTACACCCTTACCCTGAAAATAAACCATCCCCTAAGACCAATTTGTCCTCAACGGATATGGACACCCACTTCTCACAGAGAGCCCAGGTCTCACTGAACCACTTGAGGCCCCCGAACCTGTTATCAGAAACCAGCACTTTTCTCCTCCAATCTGACTGTATCGTAAGCCGAATGTTGCGGTACACTGTAGTCTTAAGGTGCTTGTCATGCCATTCCTTTCCATTAAACACCAAGTCATTTCGAGACTGCCAAATAGCATTACACAGGACAGCTCTCAAGGATTGAGCAATGTAACCCCATCCCTTGTCTGATCGAAGACCCTCCGAGATGCCACCTAGTAGGCACCATGTTTTATCCCAGTCCATCACTTTATCAGAGAGCTTGTCCTATTCCTTGCTCCACCATTTCCAAATGCGCGCCGCCGCTGGACAGTCCCACCAAAGGTGGACTGTGGATTTGAATGCCCAATGGCAACGAGCGCAGGTAAGATCCAACCTCATACCGTGTTCGGCTAGCCAGACAGCGGACGGTGTGGCCATGAAGGATAAAAGGATAAAATCGTTCTTCACTTCACCATCCTCCTCCCGAACTCCTCCTTAAACCACCAGTACACGGCCTCGGCCTTGCAGCAAAATAACTTGTCGCCACAAGAAGTAAAAGGCAGGCTTGGGGCAGGGTCTGAGCGTCAGAAGGTTTTCAAATTTTTGGGCCCATATCAAATCCGCACGTCCCAAGAAGCAAAACAAGCTTTGGCCGTGATTGCAGTTGAATACACTTTTTGGAGTGCTCCGTGTGTGTCTGCCCTCAGTGAGGGCACTTAGGCTAAACAAAGAACACTGGGAGCATAACTGTCAGAAAAAAAAAAGAACAAAAAAAAATAAAAGTCTTTTGGCCGTGAAAGTGGTTAAATGCATTTCAACGGTGCTAGTGTGACTCGTGTGAGTATGCCCTCAGCGAAGGCGTTTTGAGCACGAGCAATTTGCGCTCCTTGCTGGCAGAGACGGTTGATATTCCTATCACCTGTTGGCTGGTACAAGGAGGAGCTGATTCGTTGGCAGAACCGTTGCAGCTCTCAGCGGAACAGTATCCCTTGCCACCGCCTGAACAACTGGTACCAGTCTGTGTTCTGGAGCAAAAACAGAGCTACAGACCGTATTGTTTGAAGCTGCCGGCTTATAGCTTGGTCGTAGACCCCAGAGATTGGGCGTGGGACCACCCAATGCATAGCTCTGAATTAGTCGGATTATCGGAATATACGACCAAATTGGGATATCAGATAATGACCTCTCACACAGACGTTACCTGGGAGGTGGCAAGAAGATGGATGGCAACAGGATGGATCAGAGACACGCTAACTAGATTAGTAACTGTTCTTCCGAAGTTCTGGAAGCAACTGATGGATTTGGTAGTGAGTAAACATGCAGGTGTGCTCTGGTTGGTGATGCATCTGGCACTGCCGACGAACACCTGGTGTGCTAGAAGAACAGCAAAAGCTACCCCTGAATGTGGACTTTGTCCGAGCACCAGGATGGAGGATAGACAGCATTTCTTACTACATTGTGAACTCTCCAGGCCATTTTGGGATTGGTGGAGACAGTCGGATGTCCCGATCCCTGATGTGGATACTCGGTGGGGGGATGAGTTTATTCTCCTGGGAACAACAGCCAGGAGAACCTCTCAACAGACTCAATTTGCTCATGCGGAAAAAACAATAAGAGGTGTCATAGTGTGGACTCTTTGGAATCTCAGAAATGTCAGAGTAAGAAAGAATGAGCAACTTACACCGCCGATGGTCAAAGCTGAAATTAAATACGCGATCAAACAAGCAATATCGGCAGATTGGGAATATCGAGTTCAGAAAAAAGGCTTCTCGGCCAAGGCTGTCAAATGGTTTGGAAGCAGGTGGGGAAACTTCTCGAGGCTGGCTACAGTTGATGCAGCTCGGGATGGTACACTCTTTATGCGGTTTTCTAACTTCTTTGTTTAGTTTTTGTTCAGTTTTTGCGTGTTGTCCTGTCTTTTGTTTTCAATTGTGGTTTACGCAGACTCAATAGTAGTTTGGTAGTTCAGTGTTGGTTAGAGTAGTGTGGAATGCGTGATACAATAAGGAGACTAGATTGAGCGACTCTGGATTGAACCTTGGCTGCGGTCGGGATGGGATTGGCCGGAAGTGCCTTTTCTAGCCTGGATGGCCGCAGAATATGTGAGGGACGCCAGACCCATTTTCCGGGAATGTAAATAATCTTCATTCTAAAAAAAAAAAAAAAAAAAAAAAAAAAAAAAAAAAAAAAAAAAAAAAAAA